GTACCTACATAGAGCAATATCTCGAGGTCACGTTGAATAGGTGGCCGTTTAAAAATTAATTTATGCTAATAACTTGGCTTTATCGAAAATATTTTGTTGGTTCGTAGCACGCGGTGCGTTTTGTGACTCCGAATTGTTTCTAACGCCATCTGGTAACGCGAAGAGAGATTACAATGCAGTCTTTTTAGTGCGACGCTCTCGACTTGATCCCATAATTCAGAGGGGGGAAATAATAAACAGTGTATTAGTCAAAATAACAAATCAAGTATTGTTCGTGTACGGCATGGAAATGGCGCTCAAGTAAGGCACAGTCCCTGCTATCACGTATCAAACGCATCCGGGGCCACTTGTCATACTTTGTAATAGTCTACCCAAACTTCTCGGGAAATAATAAAGACGTACTGTTTGCAGTATAAAGGCGCCGCGTTAAATAAAAAATATTTCGAGCTGATATGAATTGTGATTAGGATTCATGAAGGCACTCTTGACTTAATCAATATTAAAAGGTGATTACTTATACAAATGTGAGAATACGCTAATAGTTTGCTTAGCGCTTGTTAGATTTCTGGCAGAGGCAATTATTTAGACGACGCATGTTTGATTAAGCCTGTCTCTTTTGAAATATTTTACCTTTCAGCATAAAAATAGAAGAACGCAATGAAATAGGTGTAAAAATGACTTCAGAGCAAAATCAACTTCTAATCGTTCACGGTAGGTAATTACTAAGGTGAGCCTGAAAACAAACACGGGACTTAAATTAACGACTCACACTCGTACCATAAAGACCTTCAACTATGATCGATCAATGACATTTATTCATTTATAAAAAAAAAACTTGAAAAAAATCGAACTGCTTAAGGTGGGAAATGAACCCACGACCTTTCGCTTGCCGGGCGACTGCTCTTCCATCTAAGCTACCTACTTAGGCACTGGATGAAAGGTCGCGGATTCGATTCCCACTTTAGGCAGTTCGATTTTTTCAAGTTATTTATAATTTAGTTGGAGATGCGACTTTTAACGCTAAGAAATTTCAATAACTATTTATTTCTTTGTCACAAAAATTTCACCGTCAGCACCTGAGGAACAAAAATGAGCATATCCTCTCGGCTAGACAAAATGCGCCGTATTTTGAATATAAGCACAAACTGCCTATAAATCCAGCGTTTTACAGCGCGATAGAAGGCACATAATTATGGTGTTTTATACATACCGAACAGGTTGCTACAGCCGCCTGAATGCCAATGATCAGACAGACACTAAATTCACCTTCAATGAATATTTATTTGTTAGCCAAGGCTGTTCGAACATAACTGAATAACTTTCGCGAAGTTATGGTTTTACGTGCGAAATCAGCCCGTAAAAGGTAAGATGTCGCACTTATTAGAATCTTGAGAATTGCGGCTTTCTAGGAAACAGAGCTTTTATAAAAGATAACTTTTTATTATTAATTTAGAACCTAGAAGATCATTAATACTCGTATATAGATGGACCATAAAAAATTTCGGCGTAGTCATAAAAAATTGCCAAGAAAAGCCAATGACAAAAACCTAGGCTCTTTTCAAAGCAGGGCAGTATGCACATTCACACTGCTTGGTTTCCATTAGCGGCCGAGCTGTAGAGCCAGGCTATACAAGTTTCAGTGGCGGGAAATAGAGGTGGGGGTGTAAAGGCCTGTGAGAAGTCAATGGATATGGATAATAGAGGCTGGCCTGATGATGGACCGTCCTTGCTCCGTCTTATGACAAGATTATAATTAAAGCCTTGGATCCCTGACTTACCATCAGGTGATCCATCTGCTCGTTTGCCTCCTGTCACATAAAAGAAAATGCTAAGAAAATTAGAAGCTTTTCAAATAATTTTAACAGAGAGAGTTATAAATTTTAAAATGTTAATGAAGTCCAAAGGAATATTAATGTTTTAATTCAGGTTTATTCATTCATTGGCTCAGGGTTTTGAATGGTTGAGATTCCGGTTTTGAGATGTGCGCGAACTTTGGCTTCGCGGAAAAAGTTAATAGGCATACTTACCTATTAGTAAGAGTAATTCGCGGTTGCATTAATTAGTGATGTAAGAATACTAACAAAAAGTCTTTAAAATTAACTACATAACTAAATAGACAAGGGAGTGATGTGAAAGCAATCTATTAATGAAATGTTCTACTCCATTTAGAACGCAGACCACCAGTGGAGTGTTATACCAAACTACACGCAAGCCTATTGCGGTATACGTAATGCAGCGCATTAAAATCGATAGAGCCCAAATGCCGGACATTACATTAAAATTAGTTTATCGGTTAGTATTTACGAATTTACACACATTGAGTTTTATCAACTCAGGGCAGCATGATTATGCAGGCCTCCCACTAAGGTGGACCGACGATCTGGTGAAGGACGCGGGAAGAGCCTGGATGCGGGCAGCGCAGAACCGGTCATTGTGAAAATCCTTGGGGGAGGCCTTTGTCCAGCAGTGGACGTCATTTGACTGAAACGAACGAGCTTTATCAATAAACACCTCTGTATGCATCGCGCACCACTGCCCAAACGATTTGCAAGCTGAAGTCGTAATCATAGAACCGGAGGCCGATGCGATGGCGTCAATGAGTTCGTAGAAAATCATTGCCATTATTAGTCCTAGGACGTCCACGGTTAAACTTATGGCAATTCGCACTGCATTGGGTCTGAATCCGAGAAATGTCGATCTAACATTCAGCTTCGGATCGTGCGTAGACGCGTAGTGCGTACAGATCTAATTGATGTAAGGTGTATTACAGAACTCGATTCAATTTCAAGCATTATAGCAACACAAGATGAAATCTATGACTGAATGATTTTCTTTTTTACCACAACGAGGAAGCTCTTGGTCTGTATCTCACCTGATGGTAAGTGACGTAATATTGAGTTTTGAGCATTGTCGTACTTAATACGGTCCTAAGATTTTCAAAGCAATCAGCAAGCATCTAACAAAGCTCTATTGATTTTATTTGGCAGTAAGTACACCTACAGCGATTTAAGTACTGGGTATACAGGGTGGAAACGATAAGTGATCTCACTCGATAATTTCTAAACCATACAAGATATCGAAAAACTGGTTACTGACCCTGAAAGTGCTTTACGAACTCTTTCAAACGGTACCAATAACAGGTTACAGAATAAACTGGAAGTATCTGAAAATTCAATGTTTCCAGCTTCCATACTTACTAAATGTATGCCAACCACACAATATTAAGTGTATTTTTTTTAAATTAAATAATGAACCTAAAAAAAACTCGTAAATTGCATTTTTATTTAAAATTATTCAAGGAAATAATTAGTTTTAGGCTTTACTTGCTATAAAGTGTTGTATCAANAGGGCCCTGTAGAATTTGCAAGAAACGTCACAATACTTTGCTTCATGACCCAAGCGATAATACAAGCAATTTATGCCAATCCGAGGCTGTTGTTAATTTATCTGAGCATTTAAGCACTCAAGTCATTTTGTCCACAGCCCTAATCAAAGTATACAATACAAATACAGGCTCGTTCCAGCAGGTTAGAGCGCTTCTAGACTGTGGTAGCCAGTCGTCGTTCATCACAACGTCACTAAAGAGCAAATTAGGTCTTCATTCCACGCCTATAGACGCACTCAAAATCATTGGTATTGGCAACAATCATTCTAACAATGTCGTAGAAAGCTGCACTGTTAAAATACAGTCTTTATGCAGCCCATTCAATACAAATTTGTCTTGTCTCGTACTAAACGAGCTAACAAGCGAGCTGCCTAAGGCTCCTATAAACAAACATATGCTAAAAATTCCTAAACATATACAGCTGGCAGATCCCACCTTTGACCGACCTGCTCCCATCGACATGCTGATTGGAGCCGACTTATTTTGGGACTTATTAGGGAACGAAGAATCGTCTCTATGTCCTTCAGGACCTAAACTACGAAGTTCAAAATTAGGTTGGTTGATATCGGGCCCAGTAAAGTCAAAATGCGCTATCAATAATTCAATTTACACAAATCAAATACAAAGTAATCACGCCATTACAAACTCTACATTGCATGTTTTAGACAATTCACTGGCTAAATTTTGGGAGTTAGAGGAACTGCCCGCAAAATCACGTTTAAATAATAACGAGCAAGAATGTAAGGATCATTTTGTAGCTCACACTTACAGGACAGGGTCGGGTAGGTTTTGTGTAAGACTACCCCTAGTTGATTCTCCCGACTGCCTGGGAGACACTTACGCTCTCGCGAAGAAACGTACTTTGATAAATTTAGAGAAAAGGTTCAAGAGAAATTCAGCTGTGCAATCTGAATATTCAAAGTTCATTCAAGAGTATGCAGAATTGGGACATCTCTCAAAATCAGAAGTCACCAAACCATACTCTAGCTATTCTTTATTAAAGCGAAAGCGAGGTGAGAGTTTAGTTAATGTAAATTTAAGATAAGTAACAAATAGTAGGTGGACGAATTGACGCCTCTCATTATTCATTTGAAAACAAGCATCCAATACAATAATTGCACGCTTCTAATCACCTAACCAAGTTAATTTTCCAACGAGAACATTTACGTAACTTTCATGCAGGTCCGCAATTACTATTGGCCACAGTGCGCGAAACCATCTGGCCAGTCAATGGTAGATACTTAGCCAGGCGCACTAACAACAAATGTGTTCGATACAAACGCATCCAGGGTAAAACTTTGTGCCCTAAAATGGGTAATTTACCACCCCAACGCCTTAATCCTGACTTTCCATTTTTGTCCGTTGGATTGGACTTTGCTGGTCCATTCTATATTTTGAATCGTAAAGGCCGTGATAAAATGTTATTTATGCTTATTTGTTTGCCTACGATTTAAATGCATACATTTAGAGTGTGTCAGCGATTTATCTAAGGAATCTTTTGTTATGACTTTAAAACGGTTTATAGCACGGAGAGGAAAGCCAATTGAAATATTCTGCGACAACGGCCGCAATTTTGTAGCTGCTGCTAAAGACGTAGGTAATTTTATAAAAAATAACACAGAACCTCTATCTGGCTTTGCAAGTCAAGCAAGAAGGTATTAAATTCATTTTTACTCCAACTTACGCTCCTCACTTTGGCGGCATCTGGGAGGCCGGGGTAAAAGCTGCAAAATATCATGCAAAACGTGTAATCGGCAATAGTCACCTCACATTTGAGGAAATCACAACCTTGTTTGCCCAAATAGAGTCAATATTAAACAGTCGTCCTTTGTATCCTCTATCATCATCTCCCAACTACCTCCTTTCCCTAACTCCGGGGCACTTTCTTATTGGAAGACCTCTAACGTCGATACCATCAGCAAATCTAAAAAACGCAAAAGAACACTCACTGAAGAGGTTTGCACGGCTAGAACAGATTCATCAGCACTTTTGGAGGCGCTGGTCCAAAGAATACATAGCAGAGTTACAGCAACGAATCAAATGGCGGAATGACACCTCTAGACTAAATGTAGGAGATCTGGTCCTGCTGCAAGAAGACAACACCCCTCCCTTGAATTGGAGACTTGGGCGTGTTACCAGACTATTCCCTGGCGCAGACGGTGTATCAAGAGTGGCCGACGTCAACACAACAAGAGGAAGTGTACGGAGACCCCTAATTCGTCTGTGCCCTCTACTTACCAGCGATGATATCACGGGTTAAAACTTCCGTTTTAACGAGGCGGGAAGATGTTGAGGCGTTCAGCCTCCTTGCTTCAATCTGTGCGCGGCGCGGCGTTTTATTTTTAATTATTTAGGACTTCTTTTGTTTCTNAACTGGAGACTTGGGAGTGTTACCAGACTATTCCCTGGCGCAGACGGTGTATCAAGAGTGGCCGACGTCAACACAACAAGAGGAAGTGTACGGAGACCCCTAATTCGTCTGTGCCCTCTACTTGCCAGCGATGATATCACGGGTTAAAACTTCCGTTTTAACGAGGCGGGAAGATGTTGAGGCGTTCAGCCTCCTTGCTCCAATCTGTGCGCGGCGCGGCGTTTTATTTTTAATTATTTAGGACTTCTTTTGCCTCTCTTGCTTTTGTCGTCGTACTGAACTGTCATGGTTTCAATATATTTGTAAAACCGTAAAAGAAAGTGTTTTAATTAAATGGCACCATGTTTTACGAAACAGCCTCCTTTTTCAAGGGTTTACTATCTAAGAGTCAAATCAATCTGCAAATTGTCTTTTAAAAAGTGTTTTTACAAATCTGATCTGCGTGAGATTTTGGTGACACCCTAATGTAGTCTACACACCAAATGCACGATCCGCCGACATGTGTCGTCGACATTTGACACGTTGTTGTGTGAGACTGAGTTGAAAAGTCATAGAAAGTACAAGTCGTCGATGTGATTCTATTGAAAGAAAGACACCGAGCTGCCGCGGGCCGTGCGTCGGCGGGCTTGGTGGGTGGAGTCCTTAATTGAAAATAAGTCATATAAAGTCAAAATCAAAATCAAAAATATTTACTTACGTATTCAATTTAGACCACAAGTGGCACTTATGAACTTCAAAATATAGTAAATAGAAAAAAAGGTAGCCTTTATGGGGCATTAGACAAGACAAGAAAATAAGGTAGCTCATTAAATTAATAATAATGATGGTTGCTTATTGACTTCAAGGACAATATTAACAACCTATCAAATTAGAAATGTTTCATCTATCAAAACGATGTTTCTCCGTTCTCTTATTACATTATAATTAGGTTAAATCATCAAGGCTTTTAAAGTTACATCTTAATTATTGATTCTAACGAACTCCGCTGAAATTTACACGAAATTGGAAACCTTATGGACGTACTCGTCAGTAAACATTTTCGGATTATTAATTAGAACGAATATCAAATATTAAGAAGGCAGTTATAATTACTGAATCATTGCCACAGTATAAATTTTAATGGACCCAGTAGATTATTTTACATTTTTTACAAGTGGGGTTTAACGGTTATGTAGGCATAATTTAAGGTTTATTTATTTATTTTTTTATTAAAGACGCAAAACAGATTACAATTTAGGTTTCACAAATTGTATAGCACGTAAGCTTATGGACTAAATTGTAACCTAACAACATGCATCCTATAAAGTATAAATGATGAATGTTACAACAAAACTTCAAAAACAGTTTACATTTTACGTTTTACAGAAAATTAAGAAGTTTATTAATATAATATTGTGTGTGTGAGAGTGAGAATAGTGAAAGAGGAAAATAAGATAAAATTGTTAATTAAAAAGGTTTTAATGTGATACGCTAGGTAATAATGAAATATTAACTGTATTAGGTTGAGTGGATGGCCTGATGATGTGTGACTACCCTGATGGTGATAAATGGGTTCTCGTGTGAAGACCACATCTGGGCAAACGCCCCCTAGCACGACGGACCAACGACCATAAGCAGAACTGCCAGTGATTGATTAAAACTCGGATGATGGAAGAACCTGAATGCGGGTGGCGCAGGACCAGTCGTTAGGAAAATCCGGGAGGTCTTTGTCCAGCAGTGGACATCATTTGGCTGAAACGAAGGAACGAACTAATTGATTGAAAAGCAAGATATCGTGCTTATTGGTGCTTTTTGGGGAAGGTTTACATTCAACAGTGGACTGCTAACGAAATGATGATGCTCGTGATACAAGGATTCAAGAGAATCATTAGTAAAATAGTGTCGTAATTAACACGAAAATAAAAAAAATCCAAATATCACTGCATACATTTTAATTAAACAACTTGAAACAATCCCGCCTTAGGCAGTTCGATTTTTTCAAGTTGTTTATTTAAAATTTAGTTTGAGAAGCTACTCTATTCGCTAAGAAATTTTAATAATCACTGCAGAAATACGAGTATTATGTGATGTAGGTCAATAGCTTAGGGCATAGTCAGACATAACGAGTTACCTTAGTACTTAGTCTGACATCGATCAATCGGACCGACGGCTCTACTAATGCCTGATGTGAATCTACTTTCGTTTCAGCCTCTTTATGACCTCTATTTTGTGTTCTCGTGTATTACAGATTAAGTCTCTTTATTTGTGATTAACGTGATAATTAGGGGCTTTGAAGATACTAATGAAATCGTGTATTCGCCTCATTCGAATTCATTTTGTTGACTGTTCATATAGCCGGTAGTTTGATATTAATATTTTCAATCCTCTGCTTAGTAAATTTCAGTTTGTATTACTTATACAGTACTTGGGATATTATGAAAGTGTGTGGTCTATTGGGAAGACCACCTGCTTCAGACTCAGAGGTCCTAGGTTCGACTTCCACTGTTTCCATAGACAATTTTTTACAGCATGAAATATTTTAAAGCGCTTATTAAGAAAATGTTTGTACTCACAACAATTGGACATGTGATTATTCTGAGGAGATGTAATTTGTTTGTAGGTGATCAAAGGACACTAAAATAATAATTTAACTGGAGTCCACTTTGATCACCTAGTGCATCGTATCCGTGGATGATCAAAGTGGAATAAACCTTCCAAGCCATCCCAAATGCTTCCTCGATGTGGTTAAAAATGTGTTACATTAATTTATAACTTTACGTTAAATATAGCGTATTGGCAATATATCTTCGTTGCCTGTGACATAATGGCTATTCTACAACACCCACATTTTTTCAGGGATTTCCCTGAAGGCATTAATAATTATGTAGTTTTCACCCACACGTTTTCCTAGTTTGTATTGCGAATTTATTTTATTAGTGTAGGATTCGGATAGATATCCCATTGAATTCATAAGTTCCTTTCAGCTAAATTACGTCCACGCTGGACCAAGGCCTCCCCCAATGATTTCCAGATTGGCCAGTTGGTAGCGGCCTGCTTCCAGCGCCTTCCTGCAACCTTTATGACGCTTTATCCATGAGGGCGAATTCGCCGCGAATGTTTTCGCGCGTAGATTCATACGCGCGTTGGCGAGATATTAGCAGCCAATACATTGCGCCCACAAGACACGCGCGAGTTGAAAATTCATACGCTCGTGTTTGCGCGAAGATATTCGCGGCGAATTCGCCCTCCTCGACAAGTTGAGTGAGTCTGAGTTCATTTGTATACCTTGTGGGTGACTGAATGCTCTCATTATTTGTCGCTGTCATAAGCTAGGGAGAGAAAGTCCTCGCTGACAATGTGAACAGTTTGCGATCAATTATTAACACGTTGGACGTAGTGCAGCTCACCAGTGACTATCGAACTCAAAATATATTTTTATTGTTTCTAGTTTCTAGTAGTTCAAAGTAGCCTCTTTTATTGATATAGAACCTACATTCGTGCTTACTTGAGCTAGAAATACTGGGACAAATGCCTTAGAGACTCCCTCGCAACATTGTTTCTCAGAAATGTCTTGGAGTTGTAGAGGGACGTGTTTTGCAACTCCAGTGAACCCAAGTTTTAATTTGTGTAGAATCGTCGCACTTGGAAATGTCGAGAAAGAAGCAATTCCGAAGGAAGAGAGCGAGTAATGCATTTGAGAACGAAGACATGCAAGGAAGGAATTCCTTTTCTTAATTGAAACATGTTAAGAATTGAGTAATATTTAGCTGTTAGCTGACTGATAGCTAGATTATACTTTACGACAGAGGGAAGCCTTAGCATTAAAGTCACCCTATGTAGGACTATTTATATTGCATCATAGGCCCTCAAGCAGGGTAAAGTTGTATAGTAATATTATCTTGAATATTATGACCATATGTTAAGGTCCAAAAACAAAGAGAATTTTAAAGTTTCTGGCTCGATTATAAATTACGAATTACTTCACATCTGTACTACTCTCAGCTTTACTAGTTATAACTCCCAGCAGTAAAATAAGCAGATTTTCACACTGCTACTGAAATTTTGATTGTAATAAGCCCACTTTCAGACATTCTGGAAGGAACAGGCTTTCTATAGCACTTAAATATCCGAACGTCAAAGTATCAAGAGCAGAACTCGACTTTTAAAAGATTCTTTATTCACAGTTTCCCCTCGGTTTCCGCCAGAAATCTTTCTCCAAATCTAAAACACCGATAATCCTCACCTTAATCTTCAGCTGAAAAAGCTCGCGTTTAAAAAGCTCTCCTTACATATATTCAGAATTGTAGATGTAAGCACAGAGGTCGCCACTGGACCAAATGCTCACTTAAAGCTGCCAGAATGCTTTTAGGGATGGGGGCCGGTGGGTTGTCGATAGAAATATTTACTACCGTTTTTCATCTTTTACTATTGAGGCCACTTCAGGACACATTCCGGCTGATTCTGAGATGAAGTGGCAGAAGAAACTCAGCCACCTTAAAGTAAGATAAGAGTTCATTATCTCGAGTGCTATTTCAGATTATTTAAATGCCAGTGGCGATTCCAGAGCACCGTCTCGGAGCTAGCTCTCGGACTCAAAACATACTCTATGGATGAAAGTCTCCAAAAGGACTACCATAAAGTACAATGTCCTTTATAGAGCCACTGCCAGCTATCTTCTTGAGGCCCTTAGTCTTTATATCACGAATTCTTACATTATAATTATACAGGGTGTCCCGTAATGTAACGTCAAGCCGGAACTGGGTGTTGAGGCAAGTTGTGCTGGTTATCAGAAAAATATAAAAAAAAATCTATGTGGCATATTTTAAAAATAATAGGCATTTAAAAAAAAACAAAAAATTCTACTCCAGGTGACGGTCCTTTTGCTCGTGTTGCCACAAATCTTCACTTTTTCCAAATTTTTTTTTTGTTATGTAACCCTGAATAATGCTTCTCTAAATTGTTATCAAAATTACAAAACCAGCTGCTCCAACTTGGATGAAAAAAATACATTAT